TGTTATGATATACTTCGTAGATTGGATACTAGTGACACTCACGTCTCTTCTGAAATTCTCAGTTAGACTACTTTCAGGAATAATGCTGGGGAGTAAACATTGGTTCCAATCTAAACAAGAGTAACAGAAGCACGACTGTCGCTATTCCCGGCCACGCCCATCTTTACCATAACTAGGGATAGGGAAGGAAATGTTGATGTAGTACTTACTAAATGAGAGGTCACCGACTTAGCGACACCCTCATAATTGCTACGGAGTTGGAGGGTTAGGTAGGTTATGATTCCTCTCAAGTTGGCGATGCAACCAAAAGTATGTATTTTTTATTTGTTGTTTATTTAATCTCTCGTTAGCCAGCTATCGAAAGAACATTTTTTTTTTTTTGTTATTTACTTTATTTGTACAGGCTCAATCGAATAAACTTTACAGAGCCAAGTTATCATTTTCTTTATACATTATAAATGTCTTAAATCTAAAATTAAAGGATTGGAACCGATTACTCGCGGTCTTCTCGAGGTTAGTGGATGACAATTGTTTGGATCGGGAGAGGGAAAAGGAGATTTGGAATATGATTTATGATTAAAAATTGCCACTATTTCTAAAACATATACTTAATCCTATCGACGTTATATCAACTCTGTAATTATACAATTATTACAGAAACAAATATACAAAAAAAATACACACACACATACAAAACACAAACTAAACACAAGGTTAATCAAACTTACAATCTATGGTTAATATTCTTCAAGAAAACATATATGAGTTGCATAAACTCCAGATCGCGTCTAGCCAAAATATCCCGAACTGGAACATTAGGTTGTCTACCTCGAGCCCGAAGGGAATCGTACAACTCGGATCTGACTCCACGGTGCTCAGCACATGACCAAATAATGTGATCTGCGTCCTGGTAACCTTGTCCACATTCACAGAGATTACTGTCCCCCAGCTCAACACGGAACAAGTGAGCGTTTAACGAGTAGTGATTGGACATGAGGCGAGACATCATACGAATGAAGTCTCGACCCACATCCAACCCCTTGAACCAAGGACACTTCGACACCTTAGGGATGATTGAATATAACCATCGTCCCAAACTCCCTTCACTCCATTTATTTTGCCAGCTGGCGAGTGACTATTGACGATAAATGAAGAAAAATTCGTCGTAGGCGATTTGTCGACCGTAAATATCGCCTTCCATAGCGCCCACCTTTGCAAGCGAGTCCGCCTTCTCATTGCCCGGAATCGAGCAATGAGATGGGACCCATGCAAAGGTGATGACAAAAGATCTTAAAGATAAAACACTTAGAAGCTCTCGTATTTTCATGAGAAAATACGAGGAGTGCTTTACCGGCCTCATAGAACGAATAGCCTCGACAGAACTGAGACTATCCGTAAAAATAAAATAGTGATCTGGTGGAAGTGAGGCGATCGTTTCTAGCGTATAGTATATAGCCGCCTGCTCAGCAATATATACGGAACAGGGAGCTTGAAGCATTCGAGAGGTATCGAAAGAACATATTAATTTTGTTTAGTGATCATGAATTTTAAGAGTCATGACGGAGAGCTTGGGATTAAACCCATGATTTTCTGCTCAGTAAGCAAAAACGATCCCTCCAGGGTCATCGAGCATCTTATAACCATAAAACACTTCGCGACAAAACACGACTACGTTTTCGCTTGATATGCAAATAGTTTCTGAGGTTAATGTTCAATATCAAATATACAAATGATGGTGGCGATTTATTGTGCTGTGGAAGAGCTTGGGGTTAAATCCATGATTTTCTGCTCAGTAAGCAAAATCGATCCCTCCAGGGTCATCGAGCATCTCATAATCCACAGCGCTTCGCGTCAAAGTACGAATATATGGATGAACTATCGATTATTGAATAACTATTATTTACAATAATTACATGAAGAAATAAAATATAAACTACAAACAAAACGTGAAACCTAAAATCTTAAAAAGATATTCTCACAAATATATTTCACACAACCAGGAATCTCAAAACCATTAGACGCTATAATGATACTCTGCACATGTTAGACACAAGAAGAGGCCAAAAAGCAAGCGTCCGACACACACTTGCAGTCACAATCAGAGCGCTCACGAATCATAAAACCGCTGACTGCGACACTCTGATAGCGAAATTAACAGGCTCTATGCGTCAAACACCCGCCCTCCAATCTCCTCCCGCATCCAACAACACAAACCTCCATTACAACATCTAACGAATTCAAAACTCCGAAAATCACTCATCTATAGCAAGTGAGTGGAAGCAACCCTGCATGTAACCATTCTTCATGATACACTTTTTCTGTCTATCTTTCTATTAGGCCTGTGGACATGCGTTAGCTTCGAAACTTCTAACCAAGCTGGAAAAATTTTCAGATCACAAAAAAAAACTTGAAAAAAACTTTCAAAGGTAATTACAAGTAAAACAAATATTGATTATTTTACGCAAAAACGAGTAAGTAATAACAAATCTCTTGTATTGTAAGCTACTGCTAATTGAATGTAACAAAAATAATATGCTTAAATAAAATAAAATATTAATAAAATTATATGCAAAATTTACTAGAAGATCATTACTTTATTGGTGAGATCCAGAACAACATGTGAAAAGGGCATATAAGCTTTTTGTAAACAAACCTTCTTATGCCCTTTTCTCGCCACCCATATGACACCAACGCAAACCTTTAACATCACCGGGTAGGGGACACTTTCCCCTTCCCGATGATATTGCTGGTTTGCGTGGGCGACCCTCGGTTGGCGAGAAAAGGGCCTACAAAGGTTTGTTTACAAAAAGCCTGTATGCCCTTTTCACATGTGGCTCTTGAGATGTTTCTAATAAAGGGTGATACGGTCAAAATTTGGTCAATATCAACTTGACGTATTTCTTTCAATTTTGCATTTAAAAAACCTGAACACCCCTCATTTTGAAGGTGTGTGTGTGTAGAATGTTGCTCCTATTTTGATTTTGGAATTCACTCTTCAGTTGTCAAAATGCCGTCCAAGCAAGAAGAGCAGCGTATCAAAATTTTGCTCGCGCATCGCGAAAATCCGAGCTACTCGCACGCAAAGTTGGCAAAATCGCTAAAAGTTGCCAAATCAACCGTTACAAATGTAATTAAAGTGTTTGGGGAACGTTTGTCGACAGCCAGGAAGTCTGGATCGGGGGGAAATCGAAAACCGGAAGCCGCTGAGACGACAAAGAGAGTTGCCGGTAGTTTCAAGCGAAACCCTAACCTCTCTCTCCGAGATGCCGCAAATAAGCTGGGTGTATCGTCTACAACCGTGCATCGAGCCAAAAAACGAGCCGGACTATCGACTTACAAGAAGGTAGTGACTCCAAATCGCGATGATAAACAAAATACGACGGCCAAAGCGCGATCCCGGAGGCTGTACACGACGATGCTGACGAAGTTTGACTGCGTGGTAATGGACGACGAAACCTACGTCAAAGCCGACTACAAGCAGCTTCCGGGACAGGAAGGGGAAAGGTAGCAGATGTTTTCAAGCACATGAAACTGTCAAAGTTCGCAAAGAAATATCTGGTTTGGCAAGCCATCTGTACTTGTGGCTTGAAAAGCAGCATTTTCATAGCTTCCGGGACTGTCAACCAAGAAATTTACGTGAAAGAGTGTTTGAATAAACGTCTGCTGCCTTTCCTGAAGAAACACGGTTGTTCCGTACTGTTTTGGCCGGATTTGGCATCTTGCCATTACGGTAAAAAGGCCATGGAGTGGTACGCCGCCAACAACGTGCAGGTGGTTCCCAAGGACAAGAACCCTCCCAACACGCCAGAGCTCCGCCCAATTGAGAAATACTGGGCTATTGTCAAGCGGAACCTAAAGAAGACCAAAAAAACTGCTAAGGGCGAGCAGCAGTTCAAGGCAAACTGGCTTTCTGGGGCGAAGAAGGTGGACAAGGTGGCTGTACAAAATCTGATGGCAGGGGTCAAGCGTAATGCCCGGCAATTCGGATTTGGAAAAGCGGAAGCCTAACTGAATATTTTTCCTGAATTTTATACTAATTGAACTTGAAAAAGAAATTTAATTTGATTTTTTAAATAAACGATTTCACCGATTTACACGCGTTTTCCCTTGACCAAATTTTGACCGTATCACCCTTTAAGCCCTCCCAGTTCCTCTGTAGAACAAATCTGATACTATAATCAGAATTGCTCAGTCTGCATGAATCAGCCGATTTCATCAAGGAAGTTCTATTAACAACCAAGAATTAATCGTTTGAGGCATACTGAAGCATTAAGAAGGTGATATGTATCACTATAGGAAATCATCATCGTTGCAAATATAAAGAAATTAAACATAAACCTTTGCTTCAGTACCGTCAACCTCCATGTCCATGGGGAGGGCAAAAACAACAGTGATAACAATAAATAACGCCAACATATAAAGCAATGAATGTTTGAACATGAAAACTCATCAGTGATTTTTGCGCAGTTGAATTTTGTAAACTCGTAGGCAAATAAACTCACGCATGAGATTTGAGTTTTTGTTTGAAGGACAGCCGAGAATTAGCGGTGGAAAGACGGTACCACCTACCGCATAAATGGAGGGATTATGGGAATGAAATACAGTTACCAGATAATGATTTACTTTATTTAAAGTACTCCAACTAAAAATACATTATGTGTGGGTGAGCCTGCAATGTACAACATTTTGGAATTTGATACGAAGTTTCCAAACTCCATCCAGGAATGAAAACTTTTACCGCGCCCGCCGTATGCCTTTTGATCAAACAGGTGCAGGCATGCTGCTCAGGGTGGAATGGGTGCTGAAGCTGAGCCCAACCCGACATGATTTATGGCAAAAACAGAATGCGAAAAGTTAAGAGCGTTAAATTGACTGCAGCTATACGGAGAAATGTTTGCCTTTATCGTGAAATTGATTGCGGTGCTCGATTAGATTATGCTACTGGCGTATTTAACGATATTTAACGATTTCCTTTAAATTTGTTTTTCTTTTTATTTCAGAAACTAAATTCGATATGAATCACCAACAAGGCGTCGTTATCACACTGTTAGCCTTACTTGCCGGATCCTATGCTGGAGAGTGTGGGGAAAAGTTCCGCGGAAAATGCAGTTGTGGGCTGCAAACATACAATTATCAAACTCGCTACGTCGTCAACTGTACCAACGAAGGATTCCGGGATGCTGCCGTGCTGGAGTACATCCCGACGGAGACAGAGGTTGTCATATTCACTGGAAACTACATCCAAGAGCTACCGTGGAACGTATTCGGCACCATTAACGATCGTCTCAATCTATCCATTGTGGACATGAGCAATAACCACATCCATGAGATCCGTGGCAAAACGTATCATCATGTACCGAACGTGAGACGCTTGATTCTCAACCATAATAATCTAAGTATTTCGAGGTACGATGACGAGGCTTTCAACTACCATCATCCAAGGGTATTTTCCAACTTCGTCAACCTGATGGAGTTGCATCTGACGAATGCATTTGCTGATAACACATCCGCTGAGTTATCGGCTGATCTCCATGATATCTTCGTAAGCAGTAATCTAACGAAATTGGTCAAACTTCATCTCGAACAGAACGAAATATCTCAGTTCAACGATAAGCGAGTGTTTTGCGATTTCCCAGCGTTGCTGGATTTGCATCTTGGAGACAATTCGCTGACTGAGATCAATTTCAATATCAGTTGTTTGAAGAATCTTCGTTTCTTGGATCTCGAGCGCAATAAGTTCGAAACGTTACGACCTCGCGATATGCAAATGCTCGATACCGTACAAAGCGAATCGGGAAGATCGACACCCTTCATGGTCGATTTCACCTTCAACCCTTTCCAGTGCGACTGCACCATTAATCCCTTATACGATTGGATGCGAAGCACCAATGTCACCGTACGCAACCGGGACAATCTGATGTGCTTCCGCAAGAAGCACCAGGAACCGATTCTGTCGCTAAACATGAAGAGATGCCAAAAAATGCGATCCGGAAAGCGAGATCACACAGTGACGTTGGTTTTCGTTCTGATCTGCCTTAGCTGCATCCTGGTGGTACTGGTCGGTTCTTTGATCTACGTGAGCAAGGACAAGCTGAAGACATGGATCACTCCGGTGGTGGATCAAGTATCGAAGAAGGTGCAGTACACAAGCATCAAAGACGAGGAAGCTCCCGAACAGTACGTATGATGTAGCGCGTTAATCCAGCGCGGACCCAGTGCACCGCGGGTGGAACATGTGTAGAAACGCACCGACGACCGAGAAATGTGTGATTGAAAGCGGAACCACAGACAGGATCTAATCATATCGATTGTAGTCAAGCTTGAAAAAAAAATCAAAACTTGATTAAAGCAAATGCTGTGTACATAGTAGAACGAGGAAACTAGAATCGAATCCATGAACAAAAACTAATTTGCAACTAATGCTTGAAGCAAACTACTACTTAAAAGACATGGTTAATTGAAGTAACGACCTTATAGGTTCTCCAGTTATCAATTAATGTTTTAACATGATTTTATCGTTAAGTCTAGAATTAGGTTTAAAAGTGACTAGCACAATTTCCAAAAACGTACTAAAACATAAACCAGATTGAACGAACGTCTCGACTGTAGGCAATTGGTTAAAGCTCTAAGAATATTAATATATTTACGATTCAATAAAATGGATTTCGAGATGCCATGAGAGAAAACAATCACTGTGTTGTTTTCCAGAAAAGAATGAAAAGAAACTAGATATAAACTAATAAGAAGTCCCTTAAAAAAATATTTGGGATAATCATACCACATGTGGATGACTGCTTTAATTTAAGGTATCAAGAACCGTCACATAAAATCCCTCCGTCAGGATGTTGCGTACCTATATCCATATACAGTATGGCATACTTTCTACGCATATCATTCGAGAACACGCTTCGACTGGCTCGAATACTTCGTTTTTCGGAGGAAGCACCGAAGCAGCACCTTAGGGCCTCCACGGAACGTTTCCTTTTCAGATAAACTTTCGAAGGAACTTTTTCCAAATTTCGTTAGACGCTCAAAATACGTAATATAATTTCTGGCTGCTGGGCAACAGAGCACGGACGGAGAAGCACAGACGCATGCAGCCATTGAAAATCGACAGACACTGCCAGGGATTGGTGCCCGCTCGGAAAATATCCTCTTTGGTGTGCACCGGAATAAATATAGACTGAACTATAGTCACTATATGCATAGTCTGGCGCAAACAATGATGGGAGCCAATTTGTCCTGTCACTTGCGAGCAGGACTGTTTTTTTTTTTTGGATCGATCGTGACGATAATTTAATCGAACTAAACTTGATTCCTAACGGCGCCGGTCGTGTAGTTGTAAGCGTGATTACCTCTCACCCCAGCAGGCCTGGGTTCAATACCAGTCGGCGCCGCCGGAATGTTCTGAGGCATAACATCTCTGATCACGCCTTCCTTCGGATGGGAAGTAAAGCCGTTGGTCCCCGGTTCATGAGTTGATGGGTCGATAGGTAGGGTCCAGGTGTGGGAGCTGCCTTCCTGGCACGTCGGTAGCATTGGTGCTCAGCACGGAAAACAAGATCGACGGAAAAAACAAACCAAAGGAAAAAAAAATAAACTTGATTCCTTTAGGGTGGTAATTTATCATCGCGTTTCTGAATGCTATTTTTAAGTTTTTCATGAACGACATCCTACCAACGCAGAAAAAAAATGTTTGTATTGTGTAATACGAAAACGTTCTGCAAAACTTCGAGCATTTCCGCGAGGTGCCAGATTATCGTTGTAGAAATCAAAGTTGCCAGTTTGTGAGGTTTTGTATCCGCCGGACTATAAATATGGTGACTATAGACTGAACCTGCTCTTTGGAACGTCGTTGTTTTGCCTTCCGGAATCGAAATTTATGGCACCGGCTTAAGATGACTGTTGTTGTGTATCGAAAGAGCGGCGAGAATGGGAGACCACCCGAAGGAGGGTATGCGTATGGCAAAAGTTGAAATTTATTAATTAAGGAAAGTTTTGCATGTCGACCGGGGACTAACTCACAACTCACACCTACCCATTCCAAGTTGGGGAGGCTTCCAGGAAAGGATCCAACTGAGAAACCGAAAAATCATAACAGTTTGTCTCGTAGCAGCTCGTTTCTCGGGACAAACATTTTGTGAGACGAGACGATGATTATTTATTTAGGATGCAATCTTTCAACATCATGCATTTTTGAATGGCAGATATAGTAGTGCGGCATATTTGAACTAAATCTCGAACGAGTAGCTCATCTAGAAAACAGTCAGGGTAGCTTATTGTTAGTATTTCATTATGGGGTTTCCCAATAGCCATGCCATGCCTGAGCAAAGTTGTTGAAAATCATATTATGCTGGAGGAAATTGGATCGTTTTACAGGATGACAATCTATGAAGATTGAATTTATTTTTAAGCACTTCATGGAATTTAAACATTCCATCTTCTACATCCTTATTTTTGTTTAAAAATTCCCAACTAAAACTTTACGGTTGACCTCAAGTTAATGTTATTTAGGCACTTCAAGCACTATAACTCTATGCCCAGGGAAGTCTAGAAAATTTCTAACCTGAAAAAATATCTAGACTAGACCAGGAATCGTACCCGCCGCATCCGGCTTGGTAATACAGGAATGCTGGACCCACCATATATAGTACATAAGTAGCCCGTTCCTTTAACCCTTCGTCTGTGCTAAAAAAAACTTACTTTGTCTGTACTTTGGAGTCAATTTAGCATAGCATCGCATAGCATAGCATAGCATAAGCGATTGCACAAATCATGGGGGGCTATCTAATGGTCAAACAATACATTTTGTAGAAAATCTCGTGTGTTGCCGTGAAAAAACACTTGGAACTAGTGGTTTTTCCCACGTATTAAAATCTACAAATCAAGCATCGGATTATACACCTGGCTACATCCTTACACGGCGAATGAGAACGACCCAAATTTGAGTTTAGTTCACTCATAATCGCCAGAAGTGCAGGAACTCAGCGATGAGTAAAAATTTGTTTTCCCAGGTTTTCCAGGATTTTCCAGGGAAAAATTCCCGAATTTGAGAAAAGTAAAGATTGGATTCACTCAGTCTATTGGTACTACTCCGAGACTGAATAAAATTTTCGTCAATCTCCTCATTTTCCGGCAAATTTTTTAGGTTTTCCACAGGAAACCATGAGACAAATTTACTCATCGCTGAGCTTCTGCAGTTTTGGCGATTGTGAGTGAACTAAACTCAAATTTGGGTCGTTATCATTCGCCGTGTACAATCGCAAGGGATAGGAAGGAAAATAAGTCCAACGTCTACTTAAGAAGGTGCAGGGAACCCATACTACATTCATAGATGCGATGCCACAGGAGGGAACATTTGTGTTAGTAGGAAATAGAATATATAGGGTTTTGATCTAACTTTCGTCCTACATCCCGCACTTTACCTCTCTTTTTTGAAAGGGTTTGAACAAAACATGGAATGTTTTCATAAAAGATATCTTCTAAATTTATTCACCTTTCCATAAGTACCGTTGGATTTGAAAAAGAGTCAAACAATGTTGAGATATTATTAAAAATTTAACACTGCTTCTTGATTCTAAATTCGTCCTGCGAGTTTCAATTCCGTCCTAACGCATTGAAACGCCATTAGATTTTCTTCGTCCTACGGATGATGGTAGAAAAAGTGGATTCGCTAGGAGTGCTTCTTTTGTTTTGAGAACAATGAGTGTAAATATTCATACAATGCGCTGTAATAGGCTTCATGGTGTGGCTTATGAACTAACGGATAGGAACAAACGCATTATTGTTTTGAGCATGGTGAAATCATTGATATTATTGATCTTTTCTGCGCGATAGAACGGAAATGGGCGATTACGACGAAGTAGCACTCTTCCCTATTTAGGAATCTCTATTCGGCAATATAAGTAAAGGTTATGTGAAAATGTAAACAATTTTAAATTAATACAAAAAGAAAGATCTCACCAAAATGATCTGCTGTAAGCCTGTCTTTCGATGTTTTCGAAGCTGTTTCATGCATTATCCTTGCCAATACTCTCCAGCAACCGTTTTCTTTTCACACCGAAGCATTGAGACCATCATCAAATCTTTCGCCTGCGCTACTGTATTGGAAGCAAACCGCAGGATTCACAGTAGAATGCGCAGACCTTTCAGTGTTTGGAGTACATCTGATCACCAACATCATCATAGAACGATTAGAAAACCCAACACCTCCGACCACCTCACTATGCCACACATTTCTAGTCCGCAGTAAGTATGCAGATAGCGTCATCTCTTGTGATTCTTGCAAACACGATGAATCACGTTTCCTTCTCGATTCGAAAACTTCCCAGAAAGCGAGAAAACCACCACAATCACATCACACACGCATAACCGTCGGGGAGGCAGAGTGCCAGCGCTTATCAGCCAAATGCAACCGAAAACAATCAAAACGAACGCACACCCAAAACAGAGAGCAAACTTAAAACAGAACCGTATCCGACGGGTTTCGAAACTCGAATCGAACGAAATCATTGAATTCAAGAAAAGGCCAATGCCAACAAATTTGAAAAGGCTCATCAGGCATTTAAAATTGTCATTCTTGCATTTATCGCAAGGATCCGACTCTAATTGAAAGGTTCCGCTCTTTGTACCCTTCGGAGTGTTGAAACACCCTCCGAAGGCGCGCCCCTCTGTCAGTCAAAATTGGATTCCTTAGCAACAAAATTAAGGAATGACATCGATAATGACCATGCATCAGAACCCTAGTCTTAACCACTTCAAACTAGGGAACAACGAATAGAAGATTACGAATCACATAGGTGAAGAGTAACTAGCTCATTTTTTCCTTGTTTCAAGATCATCCTCGGTGGACAAAGCCGAGTCTTGTCACTATCAACAAGACATAAAAATTAACAAGGACTAAGATGTGTTCCTTGGATTACTGAAAAATCCTGTTCCCCTAGTTTGAAGTAGTCAGGACTAGGAATCGGTGGTAGATCTTACATCCCGTAACGTACCACGAAAAGGTGATCTACCCACGTTACGGGGCTGCGCTAGTGTGACATTAATTTTAAATTGATTGTCCTTATCCTTATCTGGACTAGATAAAAGATTCCCGTCTTCGGAAAATTTGTTCAGATGAACTTGCTTCTACAGCGGCGCCGGTGGTGTAGTAGTAAGTGGGATTACCTCTCATCCCAGCAGGCCTGGGTTCAATCCCAGTCGGCGCCGCCGGGATGTTCTGAGGCGTAACATCTCTGATCACGGTAAGTAAGGGAAGTAAAGCCGTTGGTCCCCTGTTCATGAGTTGATGGGTCGATAGGAAGGGTCCAGGTGTGGAAGCTGCCTCCCTGGCGTCTGTAGCATTGGTGCTCAGCACGGAAAACAGGATCGACGAAAAACAAATCAAGGAATAAAAAAAAACCTCCTTCTACTTTGGTATTTTATTACATCGGCTCTCAACTGTTCTAGATGTACGTCCACAGTTGTTAATTGAGAAATTTCTAAGCCTTTCCATATTTGCATTAGTATAGTGGCAAGTAGAATCATACTCTATGGCAAGGGAAGTCGAGAATTTTGCAACCTGAAAATGCCTAGACCAGACCGGGAAGTGAACCAAGCCACTTCCAGAATGATCTTGCTTTATAGAGGCTCCCACGAACAATACTTATTTTATGGTAAACACTTCACCTCAGAATTCACTCACTCA